CCGTTCGAATCATTTTACTGGACCGTTAGTCGTTGTGACCCACAAGGGTAAGGACGTTGCGGAAATGAGCTCTGACGATTAGTCTATTGCGGGTTGATCGTCGCTCCGCTTTAAGACTCGTCGTGGTAACAGGATCTTAGATACACTGAAACCCAGCTGGCATTCTCAGTCGAAAACTTTGCTGAATTTCTCCTTGAAGGATGTACAGATGTTGGCTATGGAATGCACCCGTTCATTAGTGCTGATCCTTTTACCCTCATCTTGGATAATGGTCGCAGAGCTCATTCGAATTTAAACAAATCCGTGCTTATTTATCGACTTTTTCACATCCACTACGTCAGACCATTTGGATCAAGCCGTTTGCATCGCGGCAAGCGATTTCAACCGACAAACACTTCCTCTGCCACCTCGCTTGGACTTTCGGATGTTGCCATCTCATCTAGATGGCGTAGTGGCAGAGCGCTGAACTTCTGCAGCACCGAGCTCCAGTGCTCTCTGGGCATTTTGAACAACTATCTTCGCCACGAAATTATTCAAGACTGCTCTCGCCGAAGAATTACTACTATACCCAAAACCTCAGGATCAACGAGTTACAGCGACTACCGCACCATGTGATAGCGGTGCTACCAAATGTTTTGAATCATTCAATTGACTGGTTGGCAATCAATTAAGGAATGAACGAGACCACTTGCACAATGTTTATATGCGTAGCCAATCAATCTTGATGATACTGTCTGTTGAACAGACCTCGTCGCGACGCCACTGTGAAAGCCCTCTTATTGATCTGTCCTCGGCATTCAGTGCTGTGCCCCCTTTAAACAGGCAATACATGCGCGACTTCTCCCATCTCTGCTCTGCTAATTGGTGAACTACTTTCAGGTGAACACTGCAAAAGCAAAACCTTGGATTTTTCCAAGACTCCATATTGTCACTTCACAGTTCATCTTTTACGAGCGTGTCCTCAAAACGACAGAAAACGCCAGCTTCGTAAAATATGCAGAAAACACTGTTTTAATCTCTTTCATCCGTTGTGTATCTGACTTGTTGGATTTCAAAATGCAGTGGATTAAGCTGAGAACGTTAATCAAACACGTCGCTTAAAATTAATGGTCAAGCGAATCAAAACCAAATTCAATGCTTCTAGTAGGTAGGTTCAATAAGTAAGTACAAGTCGTTCGTTCTTTTAAGGTAGACAAACGCGTAGCTCAATTGGAAGGGAAACAAGGGTACATGTAATAACTTTCATACGGCTGCAGACACTAACAACGCAGCGTCAGCTCAAAAAAACGGTTACCATCATTGAAGAGTAGGGAAATGAACACTACAAGTTTCTTTTCCTTTCTCTCAGCACTTACAAATGACGGCCACCGCGACAGAGAACTGAGATGGAAAGAAATTACAGAATCATTGGCATTTAGAAGCCTAGCAAAAACTTCGTGCAGGGCATCAATTTGAAAAAAATTCATAATTTTCATGTCCTCTCTCATCCGTTTCTTCTCTAAAACCTATAAATACCGGCACATTGAAAACCCAAGGACAACATCTACGCGCTTTTTCGCAAGACTATCCAAGCACAATTTTAAGAACTCGTCGACATTATCGAGAATAAGCCAAAACTGAAAAGCGCTGTCTGCAACAAAACGATAAAAAGTCGTGCCCCTACTGCAGGAATGACGAATCTCAAGATCTGACAAAAGCATGAGCAAAAGCAACACATCACTAGCTCGTCATATATTGCTATGGGAGCCCAACCTTAGTGCAAGTAGAATGAACCTCTCTACACAAACAGATATTCTAAAAGCAGGCACAATCGCTTAAGAACACGTATCAACTTTACGTCATGTGTGAAATGCGTCGGAAATCATTCCACTCTTCCTGCCATTCAACGGGCATCATATGGTCAAGTCCCACTGGCCACTGCGTAAAGTACAAATGAGACAGTACATGCGGTTCAAAACTCTGCTTAACGATTAACACAGTGATTCTATTCAATCGATCAAAGCGCAAAACAAAAGTCAACTGCAGAACGCGAAATATCAACAATAACGAACACGAGAAAGGAAAACAAAAAAACCAAAACACAGGCTAAGAAGCTAATCCGTACACCACAATGGTACCATCCGTAGCGGAGACTGCTAGGTGAGCCCTCAAAGGGTGAAAGTGGACGCAGCACGAAGCCGCGCTTCGTTGTCCGATGAAGCCATCGGAAGGTCGGATGACGCTATGCAGTTTCCAGTCGAATGTCAGGATGCTGGTCTGCGTGCTGCTCGCAACTGCTATGAGTTCGAAACTGCGATGTGCATCTATCGACCTGACGCCACCATCATCCAGGCGGCGGTACGCGACCGGTTCCTGAAATATACGTGGATCCCACAGGCAAAGATCGCCCGCAACTGTGCCAGCCAGAAGCTTGCTGCCGATGCTCTTCGTCTGCAGGTGTACCCTACACACAGGACTCTGCAAACACCGCAGCGTCATCACATTGCAATCATTGGTCGGAAGGCGCCGATCGAACAGACGCACTGTGCCGTCGCTGCAGCCAACCGCCGTCAAATGATGTCCTGCGCTGTCTGCTGAGATGCTCGTCACGAAAACATTAGATGCACTGCCAACTGTAACCTGTGCCACGTTCTGCTCTCGATGGGCATCCCAGATTAGCAGCTCCCTAAAAGAAAAACGTGCGAAAGTTTTAATGAACAGGAGCAACCAAACTTACTCTGGATAGTTACAATTCTATTAACCTTATGTTTAAAATATATCGATGCCGGATTAAAACGGAGAAAACATACAGTATAAAGAAAGAAAAATTCATTTCTTACTTTACACCGATACTGTGGTGGTGTAAGACAGGTGAAAATCTTACACTAAGAAAGACCGCAATATTGCACTGAGGGACCATTTAAACAGGCCACGGCTCCATGGTATTTAAGCGCCAGCAATACATAAGATACAAGACTGCAATTCTTAACTGGGTTGAACAAAGAAATGCCCAAGACCAAACGCCACGATCCGTAGGAGGAAAAACGAAAACATAACCACGATGTTCTGGGGCAGACTCCATGAGCGAAGTTTTCGATACCGCCGTCGATACATAATATTTAAAATGACTGTCCACTAATCCACTCAAATCTGTCCCAACTACGGAATAAAGTTAATTTCAAAACAAAAACAGAGAAAAGCAGTACAAACCTGAAATCACCACCGACGAACAGAAGACCCGTGTTCTGTTCCCAATAGTAGTGCGTCGACGGAACAGATGAGAACCGTTGGACGTCGCCCATCGCGTTCCATCCAGTAACCAATTCCGGTTTGCAGTATGACTGAGAGCTGCTCAAAGAGGGGCTGACTGATGAAAAATGACAATCCCAAATCCGCACTTCACCGGTATCAGTGCCGACAAGCATGTAACCATCAGTGTATGGGTTGACGATATGTATGGCTGTCACACGGCCAGGGGTCACTGCACATAAGCTGTCGAAAAGTTCGTTCGGCGTCTTATTTTGATTCTGAAAGCCGCAGATGAAACGACCCGACTCCCAGTCCCACACGTTCACGCCGCTTCCGTCGCCGGTGCATAACAAAGGATGCAATGGAAGAAAAGCGAGGCACGACGAAGGCGAGGCCGTAGAACGACTGAAACTCGGCTGAAAGGCAACCCGCGGAGTAGAGAGGGCTCTAAATTACAGTACAGTGCTATATTCAGAGATATGGTACTCAGCAACATCGAAAAAATGCTAGGTTTGAAAACAAGACCTTCGAAAACAAGGTGCGTAACTAGGCATTTTCTTCGCCAGCTTAAAGACGCAAGCAATAATGAGCTAGTTTGCCAGTCACTAGCCACTTCGAAAGATGAATCAAGTATAAAACACGCATTATCACACAGCTCTTTCACTTCAAAGACGCACTATCGCTCGTTGCCGAATAATTCACGCTCCAATGCAGCACACGTGCAGTTCGGTAATTTTCCATATCTCTTCTAAAATATCTCACATATCCGAACTTAGATACCTCAGTATCACAGCTAAGGATTCTCTGGCCATTTGTTTTTTAGATAATCTCACTGAGAGCGCCTACTCGAGCAGGCGTGACATGTTTAAATACATAAACAGAGACCGACAGATAAAGGCAGACTACGCAATAGAAGAAACTTTATTTTGCTATATACAAGTGAAGGGATACGTACTTCAGGCGGAGGAAAACGATATAGTGTTCTTACATCACTGCGCACCGTTGCAGCATAAATATCAGAAATTCGTTACTTTATTTACAGGACTGCCTTAAAACCTGTAAGATTGTCAACGTGGCTGAGAAAACGAGCTCACTATAAACAGCATCATCTTGCAAAACATATCTCACTAGAGCATCATATTTCCTGAGCGACTTCTGTCAGACAACGCCATATGTGGGGCTCGTTTAAATATGCCAAGTTTTAATGAACGAGTGTACAGCACGCACGACTAGAGAAATCGTTACTTTTGCGAAATATTACGCAGCATTATATGACACGTCTCTTGTCGTAAACAGCGGATAGAACTTTGCAGTTACTTTATCAAAGATCGTTGGAAAGCTTAGAAAATTGATTTAGATCGGCAGCAACTTAAATCACTTAAAACAGTACTTGGAATC